TGATTACAACTGTCGAACTTGATGATGCATTCGATTCAGAAATCTGGAATCAGCATATGATCAATGTCTACTATAAGTATTGTATTGAAAAATTCGTTTTCCCAAGGATTTATCTCATCAACGAACAAAGCACAAGACAACAATTAGATTTGATTGGTTCAGCATCTGCTGTTAATGAAATGAAACAGAGACATGAATTCATGTCCGAAATTATCAAACAGAAAATACTAGTACCAATGCAGACAGATAAACAAATCGAAACAATGAACTTTCATCAATCCCCACAATTAACATTAGATGATGTACTGAATGCATACAACATTCTAATATTAAGTTGTCCCGAAGATGAAATTTTGTCAAATCGTCTTGCTACTCGTTTAATTGCCGAGGGATATTTAGTTCATACCAATTATTCCAACCAATTATCTTTGAATGCCAGACTGTACTTTGAAAAAACAGATTTAATTCTCGTGTATTTCAGTCGGAATTATTCGAAAAATGAGCAATGTTTGGCACTAATCAAACAAGCACAAGTGTCTGAAAAGAAAATTATATCAATTTTATCAACACAAAACCAGATAGAACAAGACAAAAATTGGCTAGATTCTGTTACAACAACAGATTTATATTATGAACTATTTAGAGAAGAATCCCGTTTCAAATTAGATGAAGATTTTGATCTTGAATACGACAAACTACTGATCGAACTGGTAAGGTTCTAAAGATCAATCGATGATCGGTATGATCAATGGATATTGAGATTCATCATAGCATTTGAATATCTGAAATAATACCTATGTTAATTTGAGTAAAGTACTAGACATGTCGAGTATAAATTGAATAATTTACAAGGACGCCTTTGAAAACAGAAAAATCCTGTTTACCTATAGTCATGATTGTTTGAAAGAAGATCTTAGAGTATATAGATCTATGTTAGTAGCAATAGTCTAATTAGTAGTTTATGGCTTAGGTTGTCGTAGTTCATTTTTATTAGAAAAGCAAGTATTTCCTAAATAAGACTGAGCTAATTTGAATATTTCACTCTCAGTTTCATTGTGAAAAATCGGTAGCATACTTAGTTCATTTTTAAAATCAATTATGTAAACGTTTAGTCACTTTTAAACGAGTGGATAGATCCTTAGTCAACCATCCTGACTCACTACCGATAACTTAGGCATAAAAGAGCCATATCTTGAAAATCTTCACATTACAGTTTTTTGTTCATAATTCGATTGAACAATGTTTTCCAAGAAATTAACCATCTAACATGAGATTGCTTTGAAAATTAGAAAAAAATGCATCATCAGTCAGAGTATGTTAATACGAGAGCAGATTGTGTAATTGAATTTCAATTTGTTTTGTATTGAACAATTACTTTCAAAGATATTAATTGAAGCTTTTTTTTATCGATCTAACCTTTCTTCTAGCCGTTTTCAACATCAATCAAATATGACATTTTCTTCGATATGTCCGTTGAGCTACCTAATAAGAAAAGACCTCATAACAAGTGTATCATTGACGTTGAATACTTCATTGGTGCATTTTAGAAGATTTGAAAATAATTGCAGATACCACTTAAAAGAAAGTAGAACAGTAAACAAATAAATTAATTCAATGTGGGGAAAATAACTTTCCGCGATAGTCATTCATCGACTACCTCATATTTGTGGATTCAAGATAAAACACTTTCACTACATAAAAACTGTTGTTTTTAGAGATTTTATGAATCAATTGAATAAAATGATTGATTGTTTGTTTGTTTTTAAAAAACAATGCAATCCTATTTTTTGTTAAAAAATCTGGACAATGATGATAATGGTCGAGCTCGGCTTCTCATCATTACGAACAATAATATCAGGGAAACATAAAACTTTTTCAAGCTCGATTTAGTGCTGCTCATAGCAGATCTTGTTAGTTGTTTTCATCCACGAGCTAAAGTGATCTTTCACAGACAATCCCTATATATTTATTGATCTTGAAGTAAGCCAAGATCGACTAACTCGGTCCATATAATAATGAGTTTAACCTATTACAAAGCTATTTGAAGTTATCACATCAAGTTTTCGAAATATCAGACTATACAGGCTTCACGTAATGTGAAATTTCGAAGAATTCTGATGCGACAAGGGTCTTATATCTACATAGAATCCCACATTCCGATATATTATCTTTTCACACATATGTTTAACCCGTTATCTCTATGAAGAATCTGTATGGCTTATGTCTTTGTCGTAGACTTATACTTGATCTCTTTGTACGTCACATAAATACGTCAACAGTATAAATATGTTTACCGAACATTCTTTCTTTTGTACGAAAAAAGGATAAGAAATTCGTTTTTCTAGTGAACTCAAGTAATAAGCATGACACAACTTATAGGAGTCCCATAGCTAGAACAACTTTTAAGAGAAAAAAGAAAGAGGTATTGTGAGAGCAGATGATATGTTTCTTTCGACAATATGTGAAGATCTCAAAGAGTTAGCATAGATACTTTGGTTGTAATATTATTGACGAGTTCTCTGCTGCTTTCAGAAATACTTCCTCTTGGAAAAGTTTAAATGTTAAAGATTAGGATCTCATATGAAATCATCGTGGTAGCTTCACATCGATATTATAAATGCTTAATAGATAGGTAAAGATAAAAATATTTTAGATTCGGACAACTGTCTGATTGCTAAACAGTTGTTTCAATTATAAGTGTGGCGAAAAAAGAAAAGATATTAGTACGACACCTTTGCAACATATACTAAGAAACTTTTTCTACCACGACACTTAGAAAGGTTATTTACGATATCTATAAAATGACAAAACTATAAGATAAGTTTCGTAAATTTGTATGACACAATAAAGGCAAGGTACAGTTCCAGGGAACCGTATAGGATTCGTTTGATATCTATTTCTTTTGAGTGTAACTCTTAAATGAAAAGAATCTAATGAAGCTGACATAGAGCAAAACTAAATCGCGATCTAAATTTGATTATATGCTTTCATAAGACATGACTTGGTTTTTTATTTCGTTCGAACACTATGAACTTTGTGTTTCTTGATAACAAGAGCTTTTATCTTTCTAGCTTCACCACACAAAGCCTGGTATAGTTGGCCGAATGTATTCAATACAACCGATCGATGAGAACCAAGAAAAACAACCTGAAGATGCATCATATCAACAAGATTTGCAACAGCAAATGACGTTGAACCAAAGATGTCAACGAGAAGAAATCTATGAAAAAGATATCGAAAAGATTAAAGATAGAGATAAGATCCCAACTGATGAAGTAGTCAAATTAATAGAATGTTTAACACTAGTTATCGAAGATTGCAGAAGTGATAACCTGCTTGGAGTTGAAGATAAGCAAGAGATTGAAGAAAAACCTTATGGAGCAATTGTATTTGAAGAAAACAACAGAGATATTGGACCAGATGTGGTCCATGAAGATAGAGAAGCACATCAATATCAATATGGCCAAGAAGTCATTCGAACAGATGAACACCAGACACGTGGATATTCATCAAATTCGTATCGACGGCGAAAAGAAATTTATGCAAGTGGTAAGTTTTTTGAAAATGAGAAAATACAAGAGGACTTCGATTGAACCCACAAGGCATGAGATGTGGCTATGAATGGAGTATATAGCACAATTCGCCTAATCAATTGAGTACAATTCATTGAATTTTTCAATGAAAGCTCCTGTAAATTATAACATTTTTCACATAATAATTTTCTATATTGCTTGCGATTATTTGAGTTGAAAATTTATTGTTTACATTTACGAAATGTTTACAAAAGAGTTACCTTAGATAATCTGATCACTTGAGTATTTAATAAAGAAGAATTTGTATTGGTAAAGAGAAGCTCATTTGGTTTTTGAGATCTATTTGCATTCGTCATTATAAGCTCTTTTCATTGTTTAGAACAAGCAGCAAGAACTCGAAATAATTTAAACAATTTTTGCTTGTGCATTCAACGTTGGATGTGCAAAGCATCAAATGGGACTATAATAAGAGGTAACATACCGCCATTTACTCTAACAGGTGATTTCAATGATGCTCCATATCCAATATTGCTATTAAACAAAAATCCATGGTGGACAACAAGTACAATGTATTCAGATTTCGTTCATTCATCACCAGAAATTTATTTTCGTTATCCACCATTAATTATGGGCTCATGGTTTAGTCATAATGAAGCATGTCATTATTTTCACAATTTGATTAACAAAGACATTGTATTTCGAGAAGAAAGACAAAACCAGCATCGCATGCTAGAGCAATTACAGCAAAAGAACGAACAAACCAAATTGAATAAGTCGGATCATAGGGCACGTACAAAACTTTCACGAATTATACATAATACGGATTTCACAACTGAACTAAAAGAAGGTCAAGTTGCGTGGGATATCACCGAAGATACTATGATATTGAATGAATACGAAAAGATACGTAAAAGAAACAAAACGAAAAAATTCGATGAAAATCCTACTGCTTGGCAACGTCTAGTTCAAAGATCAGTACAACTGTTATCGGATATGAAAGAAAGTAGAATTGATTTACATTCGGATATTCTAGAAGGCAAAATTGGTAATGAATTGAAAACAGAAGAAGAAATAAGCAAACTCAATGAATTAGATAATCCGAATAATAAACGTTGGACAATCCGGCAATCACGTCGATGTACACACGAATTTCTTCAAGCCAAAATACAGAACACGATTGAGTTACAAAATTTGTGCGAAACTTCAATAAATACGTAAAGTAAAAACGAACATTTTTCATTGAAAACGAACATCATATGAAGCAACAGTAAATAAATGACTCATTGAGAAAGTTCATGTATTCAGTTTAACTAAAATTCTCTGTAAAATTATCATAAATGTATTGCGTATAGTGATATAGTCATGATTAGAAGCACGAAAAAAGTGGAAATAGTCGCTATTCCACTGGTTACTTATATACTTGTTATATATGGGTAATAGAAATAAGAAGGATGATTGTTGAATATAGATGCCTACGGAGGAGACATTGACTATTTATACAACACCCAACAACCCAGATGTTCTTTTGCTTCTGTCTCACTTAATCAAACTTGTTATAATAAGAATTACTCCATAAACACCTTCAGTAGCTATCAGTTTTCGAAAAAAAGTGTCCAACGTATCAATGGGTTGAGTTCAACAACTTTCGCAAATATGCACAATCTGGAGCTTGTTTCTATTGAATGGTGTTCACTGCATGTACCTAGCAAGCCATTATACATGCATCACATCTGAATATTCCTAGATTTGAGAGTTGAATACAGTCCTTATTTGGATTATGGAATTCAGATGATGGAGGCAGAATAATCAGGCTACCCACACATTAGATAAGTTAGCTTAATTGTATATGTATGAAGAAGACAAAAGTATTGTCTTACATGCATGTGGAAGTAGCTCGCTTGCACGTAAATACAAATGTGTTAGAATTTTTAGTAACATTTACATGCGTGTCAAGTTTTCGCTAGTATTGGACCTGAAATAGATGAATTGAAAACTTCAACAAGATACTGTTTTGATCTTATATTTTAGATTTGAAAATTTTGCTTGTACTCAAATAAATGGATTCATTATTGCAGCGCTCTGCATCTATTGCTCGACAGTTATGTAAAAGTCAAACGAACATAACAGTCACTGATATCAAGAACATGCTCGATGAGATTGTCTCATTTTTAAATAATACACACAATCAACCAGATGGTTTACATGTTCTTACCACCATTTGCAATGAGTTAGCATCAATCAATGCATTAAAATTATTCGACAATGTACATATAATGAGACATACGTTTTTTAGTATTCTTGAACGTACACTGGAAATGTTACTGACGAAAGCAACATTCATTCCTATGACGAAACAAGACGAACAATGTTTCTATGAAACGAGTAATCTGATCGTCAATCTATGCTTGTACAGAAATAAATCATTAACATGTTTCTGTACGCGTAAGAATGACGAATTGAGCTCGATAGATGAGAGACAAATCGAAGAAATGTCGTACCAGAAACTATTTTTGACACAATCATTTCTTGATAAACTCATTCGAATTATAGGCCATGATTTAGCTATTAATGACTATGAACCATATCATGTAAAATATAAAGTTATCGGTCGCCTACTTGATCTTTGTACCGAAGTGAATAATATTAATCATAGTGTACTACTGGATCCTGTCGTTCAATGTTTACGCTCAAATTATTATCTCAATGCTTACGAAATGATTGACCTGCGACAACCGATTGTCAATCCGAAACAATGGTTTTTCATTCATCAATGTCCACAATTTATTCGTCTTCACAGTTATCAACGACAAGATGAAATATCGGATTCACTATGTGACTTAATGTTAGAATATAGTAACAAAATCTTTGAACAACATTTACCAATATTATTAGAAGGTGAAAGTATAGCAGTTCAAGCGAATCGTACAGGAAAAATTATCAAAAACGATCAAGGTGCAAAGCTACAGGCAATCGGTTGGCATATTGCATTATTGAATCATGTTGCTTTAACACCAACAACAAAGATACATTTTATTACAGGTTTGTAATGAAAAGCATCACATGAATGGCTTCACTTTTTCGACCTATAGTGATTAAAATGTTCGATTATTATCAGAAATCAAGTGAAAAGGATACATTCTATCTTTCATACTCTAATTGGTTTTGATTATTGTCTGTGAGATACTTGTATAACTCGACGAAAGAAAAAGAATGTAGGTGAGCATGTTTAAAGAGATGCTACAACGTCTGCTAGGAAAAAGTCACGAAATGAAAATTCCTCTAGTTTATTTCACATAATTTCAATACGAACAAAAGAGATCTCTTATCTTAGCGATATTCAAGATAAGATAGAGGAGGCATTCTATAATTTTCTCTCAAAAAGTATTCCAGAGTTTTCTACCAAATATATCTTGTTGCTAGAACCTGGCTTAATATCAGAGAAGCAAAGAGATAGTCACTATTTGACGTTCAATAAATTTGATTTCAGTTTTCTGATAATTATTTCGCATAAGGTAGCAGTATACTCACTAAATTGTCTGTCACCAATATCAAAGTAATCCTTGTCTACTGTTTGGCTCTCTAAGTCATTTGTAACTACTCAGCAGGTCAGCTGTTTTCTGCTTTAGGTGTTCATCAATCAATAATTGACCAAATGGTAAATATATTAAGTACAGAATCATTAGTTGCAAGTGTTCATAAAAATTCTGAGTTATTCCACGCTGATGTTGATATTATGTCACGCACAATAACACTATTGTATAATTTGATGTTCGAAGAGAAAATTTTTTCTCTACTGAAAGAGAAAGACTTTGGAAGAACATGTACAAAATTGCACAATGCAAAAAATCGAACAATACAATTTGCATCACAAACATTGTCTGCTATATTGAATCAAGAGAATATTGACGAAATCAGTAATACATCGGATATGACACAAAATTATCTGTTTTATTTAGAAAATACAATGAATAAACCATCGCTAACATATCATGGAATAAAGTTAGACGGTGTATTGGCCAACTTTGAAAGTATGAACTTTGCTGTTACCACTATTTTATTCCAAAACATAAATGATATCTTTCAGAAACATTTCAAGACATTATGCTATTATAGTATTTAATGAGTTGCCAAAAATTTCAGATTACTAATTTTATTTGTCCTTGCTTTCTTTAAATTCACCTGACAGTTTCGTCATTTGAGACAGTCTTTCATTCGAGATTAGCTCTTAAAACTGAACTTTATATAAGAGCCAGATTATTTAAAAGAAATGTCTCAAGAGTTCTAGCTTCTGTATCTCTATAAAAAATGCATTCACTAACCTGCACAAGTTCGATTTAACTAGTTAGTCCCGTTCAGATTCTATGCTTTTTCTCTTTAGAGCCTCGATCGTAACTAAGTCAATTATTATGAATGTTAACTATAAGATTTTTCCAACGGCAGGAATCCATGATGTTCTTTCTTTTTCTATAAAAAAAAACTTCTGTATTCTTTTGCAATTGTTACTACGTTGCTCTTGGTCATTTTTCTTTCCAATTTATGTTTTATTATTGAGGATCTGTTTAGTTTTCGTTCAATTCTGACACACATTCCATCATTGCTCAGCATCAAAACACTTGACCGTATATAAGAAGTCTTTTCTGAGTTGATTGGATGAGTCTAGCCGTTTCTTGTTTGGTGTTCGATCATTTTCGGTCAGAACTACTGATGTTCTGGACACAGTTTTATGTTAGTCTATGCATGATCTTTCGAATATCGAATAGAAATAGAAATCTCACCTTTTATCTTTTATTTACTCATTATTAATCGGTAAACAAATGAAATCAGGCAAAATGAAATAAGTGAAGCACATCAAAACCAGATTGGATTTTTCGAAGAGGTTCCTTACGCTTTGGTTGAACAAATCTGATAGCTCGCTTTATGCAAAAAAATGCGGAAGAGCAATAGCACCTCATAGAGTTTAAACACGTACAAAAAGAGACAACAGAGCGTTGCAATCACTGATAAAGAAATATGATCCATGAGTAGCAAGTCTTGTATAGATCTTTTGTTTTTCTATTTCTTGCTAGACATAACAACCATCTGAACCTGTATGAATAGGGTATCTGTAAAGAAGGAGAACAGAAAAGTTTCGGATGCAAACTTACACTCGTTATTTTCATACTGCATTTCATAAAATTATTTGGTACGTTTTGTTTCTACTTGTCGGTCAACAAATTAGAATTTAAAAAATAAGCACTCAATGGCAGTCAATGCTTGACGGAGAGATAAGAACAAGTTTTTTTCTCTTATATTTTCTTGATATTCTTAGGAAAAAGAGATTTTTTTTCCCTATATTTAATACACTAAGCATCGTTTCATTTTTTATTTGCATTCTAGTCATTGTTCAAAACGATCTCATAAAAAAAGAAATTGCCAATGATGATAACGGAATATCGTTGCTTGCAAGATGTGCACTAGATCAAAACTTGGATTTTGAAGCTATTCGATATTCAGCCTTACGCATTATTGAAGCAATACTGTATGGAGACGAGAGTGCTTGCAAAAAGATTAAGAACAATGAAAAATTGATGGATTATGTCAAGCATTTATCTCTCACGAATGATTCAACTTTAGGACCAATAGCGAATCGTATCCAATGGAAAGTGGAAGATGAGAAAAACTTCATCTTCAAGCAAACAAAAGAACAGAGTGAAGCACTGATGAAAAGCTTGAACGAACAACAAATTAGTGTTAATTATCATTGGGATTTGCCCGATAACAGAAGATCGGACATGTTTGATTTGATGATCAGTTATCATTATAGTGATAAAGAAATTTGTGGTCAAATTTATGACCGTTTAATGGCATCGAATTTCTATCGAGTTTTCTTCGATAGAGAGCATGCTCATGAAATGCTACCTAACGCGATGGCTGAAGCAATCGAAAAATCATCTATAGTTCTAATATGTTTTTCAAGCAAATATCGAGGATCGTATGGATGTCGAATGGCAGCTGAATATGCCGAAAAACGACAACGACCAATTATTCCAGTGAAATTAGATGAATTATATTGTCCAGCTGGGTGGTTGAATAATATAGTTGCTAATAAACATTGTATTGGCTTCAAAGAATTCAACTTTAGTAACGCTTATGCGAGCTTGATTCAACAAATCGATGACGTTAAAATGAAAGCCAATATATGATAGATGATATGTTGCTGAAAGACTCTTTGATCATGAAACTTGCTTTTGTTTGATCTTAATCAATAAACACCACTTACATTATGCAAACAGAAAAACTGAGAAACATTATGGAGTACCACAATTCAATATATTGATTATACTAGCTGCTAAGCAAGTGTCTACTTGAATAAAAAACAAAGAAGTAACTTCACAATTCTCATTCGGAATAACCAGTATTGTGTACTGAATAGAGTAAGGGCGAGGCATATATTCAATGTTATTTACATGAAATGAATCACTTCAATGAAGTCGAATTCTAGTAATAGTGTTTGTCGCGTCATATCAACTCATCATCAATACCATTGATAAAGGTGACAATCGAAATTTTCATACGAAGCAAAAGTTGTCATAGTATATTGTAATTCAGCTAATTTGTATCATCTCGAAAAATAACAGTCGAAAGCATAGGCGGCGGAACGATTTCACTCTAGGGTAGGCTCAACTTTTCAGACAAACCAGGTCTGTCCACGTAAAAAAATAAAGTTGAAATCAGATTAAAATCGGGTAATAGCCGATAAAAAATGGATTGTCATCCTACGATTTTGATCAATTTTTAATCATTTTTTAACCGATTTTTATTGAAAGTAACCGAAAAAATCAAAATTTCATTGACTATTACGATTCGTTCTCGCTAAAACGTTATAAAACAATTAATAAGATTGATGCAAACCGGTAAAATTCGCGTGAAGACTCTTTCATTTATCAAAAAGAAAAATCTTTGTTTTTATGAAACTTTTATCGATTTTAAATGGAACTAACCGTAATAATCAATGAAATTTGGCTTTTTTTCGGTTATTTTCAATTAATATCAGGTAAAAAATGATTTAAAATTTATTCAGGTCGTATGATTATAATCGAGTTTTAGTTAGTTTATAATCGATTTTAATCTTATTTCAACTCGAATATATTTACATGGATAGGAGCGATTCGAAAAATAGTTTTCTTCATTTGTTTATAATGTTGAGCGTTATAGGTTTTTGTTGATAGATTGTAATTCCTTATAAGCGTGATAACTATCTAATGCGTTATTGTTTCCAGACACAACAGATACTAACGAAGTAACTTTAAAAGACTGTTTAAAAAGCAGTAAAAGAGAAGTCTAAGAAGAAATAATGCTATTCAACACCAAAATATTTTTTCTATCTTGATTCTTTGAAAGGAAATCAGAATAGATGCTTGATCAAGGTGATGTCAAGGTTTTATAGTTTTAACAATGACATTTTTGCATATAATCCTGTTTCACCTTAACTATCGTTTGAACTGATCGATACAAGTTCAACAGAAGATGAATTTTCATCAAAACTGTTCTTAGCCGTTTGTTGTTTTATTGTGAAATAAAGACATAATCTGATTTTATTTAGCTGGTATCGGCATAAGAAAGGAGTAATGTTATTCAAGTGCCTAAAATTCAAATGTTATTTTAAATAGAAATCTACAAAAGACAATTCATCCGTCTTATATTAAGAACCAAGAATCCGATGACGATATAGATGCCAAAGAAGACTAATCACTACCTCACTGGATGCGAGTTAGCAGTAGAAAAAATATGGACTCCTTGTAAAAATGCGTTATCTGTCAAACGAATATGAAGACTAAACAATAAGAGTAAACGTTTATATTTAACTGAGTCTATCCTAGCCTTGGTCTGTCCTAGTTTCAGACTACCGAAACCTACTCTCCATCAACGTAGGGTAGGCTTGAGTCTATTCAGGCCTAATGGCCCCGCCGTCTGTGGTTATTTTGAATAGAAGTTTAGAACAACAGTTAAATTATCTTATATTATATTGAAAATAAAGAATTCGACGTAGATATAGACGTCAACAAAACCAATCAGTATGCCACTGAACACGAGTTTGTAATAGATAAAATGTGACTGACCTTATAGTAACGCGTCATATGTCAGGAGAACACGAAAACTAATAATATTAGAAAATTTTTACATTAAATTGAGCCTAGTCAAGCCTTTATCTGTAGTGGTTCGAGCCTACCCAAGCCTTTACCTCTCCAACCTAGGGTAGGCTCGTGCCTACCCAGGCCTCGTGGCTCCGCCGCCTATGGTCGAAAGGATGAATGTGTGGATGATAAGAATATATACATTTATATAGCAACATCCATTCCCGGAGACTTGCGAACCCTATTGAATAGAAATTCATCATTGAAGGTGAATTTTGAATGATCAATTTTTCGTCAGATAAAAGGTTGTATTTGATCTCCAGCACTAACCAGCATTGTTGAGATTTTTCGAAATTGAAAAGTACGATAAATAAAATCAAAAAATGTATGAAATTTATAATCAGATGTTTCTATTTGCAATACAATTAGATACGAGGAAAAACAACATGTTTTATGTCTTTGCGTTATCGAGATACATTATAACGTAGTCGATAGTACATTACATTTGATGCAATTATTATTTATTTTACATTGTAAAGAGAATCATGTAAATGAAATCGATTTTAATAATTAAGAAAAGATTTTCATAAATTTTGTTCATCATAAAATTGATAGCACTAATCGAATTAGTAGTGAATAGATGTGATACATATGATTGACAACATCTCATTGTTACGCTTCAAAATACTAAAAAAACGAAATCGTAAAGCATAAATGTAACGAAAAGTTTTATTGTGGTCTCGAATTTTTTCTTTTAATGTTGAATTTAATGATAATAGAAGAAAGCCTTATGTTTTCTCTTATCGTCATACATTCGATTATAGGATTGAAACAAACGTTTTTTCATCACGAGGATTATTTTCATTTGAGACAGAGTTCAAAATTCGGAGAACATATGCGCTATGATTCGTTCTTCTCAATCGTTTAAAAATTGCAATGAAATCGCTTTCATTTATTTTCTATGTACAAAACTTACTTTTCATTAATGATTAACAGTAAGTTTCAAAGAGACTTGGACATTGAGCATGACGTGACATTTTGGAATTCCCTGATTTTTTAAAATATGTTATAGACGTTAATGAGTTCTGTATACTAATGGAACTTTGAATATGACTTTTTGAAAATTTTTTAATCGATTTTCTGCAAGTTTTCTTCAGTAAAATTGCCTTTGGTCAATCCTATGAGAACTATCAAAAGTTACCTTCATCCTGTCATTGACATGATCTTTCTGAAGCTCTTGACCTATTTTCTACAGATTATATTTGCTCGATTGGTTAATATTTTCTTTTTTAGACATTATTTTAATTGCGAGTGGTACAATGATGTACAATTACTCAACCAAGTAGTCCACATTGTTAGGCTTAACAAAAAATATACATGGAAGATATTTGCAGATTTGATTGTATTAACTAGTTGAGAAAGTATGGTCTGTGGAAAATAGATCGGCATCGTCAAATAAATCTTCTGAATGATAGGAAAAAAAAATTATTCATTTTTCTCAATGAGGAGTTTATCAGAAATCTTAGGCAGTAGAATTTGATGCGTTCTATCATCAATAGAAATAATACTTTGATAGTTATAGTAAAAAAAGACGAAAAGTCAAAGGCACTTTTATTGAAGAAAATCCGGAGAAAATCTATTAAAAATTCCACTAGTGTACTAAACCAACTAAGTCATGTTACATATTTAAGAAACCAAAGGCTTTTGTATGTTTCATATGATGAAAAATTTGACAAAAGAAATTCGAACTCTAGCGTTTTTTTGAAAGATTTTTCTGGCATGTCTTGTTTCATTTTTCTTCTTAAGATATCGCAAGGATACGGAAAGCTGTACTAATTAGGCAATTATCAATGAAACCATAAAGTACGTATAGTAATTTTTCGACTAACATCAAAACAGAATCAATAACTGATAGGAATTCGATCAGTGATTTTGTTTTGTTTCAGCCTCCGAAACATTTTTTTAGTTTGATTTTTGAATCTGGAGAAAACATTATTCGATAGATAAAACAGTCTTCTTGCGATCTGTGCAAGGTTGAATTTGCTAAGTTGTTTTCTTAAGTAGTGATGCGCATTTCGTTGTCAGTCGCGATTCTATTCATTCGACTCTCAAAACAATATGAAACAAGATACGCCTTACTTAACCAGCTGTACTGCTTGCCATCATTGCAAATACATATAGAGAGAGATTTGAAAGATTTTGATAAAGCGATCTTAGATCATTGTGACACTTAAAAATACTATTCCTACTCTTCTCAGCATCCCTGATTATCTATGACGTGCCATAAATGACATTGTATGGAAATTGCATGAATGAAATCGCGACTCACAAGAAAATGTACATCAGTACTTAACAAAATAAGCCAACGAATTTCACATTGTACAGGTCGAAAATGGACTCTTACATCTATTCAATACTTTACTCCAGATCCCAAATCCAACGAAAAAAGTTCATTGGGCAGAAATTCGGAAAAAAATCTGCTAATAAAATCCCAAGATATATTCTACTATGACATGTATAGTTATACTCATTCGTACCTTTACTTCAAAGTCCAATTTTCGTTGAAGCCAGAATTCGGAGTTCTCGAAGCATTCTTGAATATCGGGCTCCTCAGAATATAAGTAATCGGTATAGGGTACGTATTTGTAAAATTTAAGCTGCAGATATTCTAGATAAGGTAAATAATCTTCAACTAGCAACTGCCATCCTGTTGGATTGGTTATTGTTTTGTTTTGTGTTGTAATCCAGAATTCCAGAACCAATTGTGTCAAGTTAGGACAAATTAAAAAAAACTGGTTGAGTTGTTCGAATGAATTCAAACGTTTGATATTCAAATTTAGATTTCTAAGATTAGTATGGATGAAACCGGACACGCAAGAATCATCATTCAAGAAGGTTAGACACGATTTAAAATAGCAAAGATTGGGCGATTGGCGCAAAAAAGTTAACATTTCATTGACTGATAGGTTCTTAAATGAAGCATATTTCAAGGATGGAAAATAAAATGAAAACGGTTGATTAGCATTCTGATAAATTTTGCGAAACGGCACATTCAAGTAGCGGAGTTG